GGGTCAGTTAGGAAATAGAGTAGGAATAAAAACAGTTTCAAGTTCAGAGCTCTGACCTCACTTCCTGTACTAACAGGAAATGCTGATCTCCTTCATAACGACGTGGCTGTGGGGTCGTGAGGAGAGTCAGACGTGAGCTTCAGCAAATCTGCGACGTGCAGACATGAAGTTTCAGTTTCTTCAGTTTTTAGTTCATTTCTGTGAGGGACCATCAAAGTTCTCCTTCATCAGAGCCTCGGCTCCTCACAGCTGCCCTCAGTTTGTGGGCTCGACACACTGAGAACATCCTCAAAGTCCGACTTCTTCCACTGATCCAGGAGCAGTTTGGTGACAGCCTGTGAGTTTTCCAACCTGCTGGAGCTCCTGTCCCACAGCAGAGCCACAAGTATCATTATTATTAAATTAATGTTTTGCAAACTCTCAGATCTGAATCTGACCCAGAACGTGTTGTGGTTGCATGAGAAGCCAGCTAACCTCAGCTGAGACTCTCAGGTTGGCGTGTTTTGACGATTCATAAACATCATTCGAACACGCATCTCCGTAAACGTCTTTGACTCTGTGGAAACGGGAGACAGGTGGAAAGTGGTGAAGCCGTTTGTAACCCGACGTGTTGCTGCTCTCGTTGTTTTTCATGGCAGGCTGCAGCAGGCTCAAGAGGAGCAGCGCTGCGTCCAGGTGGAGAAGGTGAAGGTGGAGGAGGAGCTGAGGAGCGAGATCAACTCGGCCAAGGAGGAAGCTCTGCGGCTTCGTGAGCTGCGAGAGGGAAACAAGAACGAGCGGAGCCGGCAGAAATATGCCGAGGAGGAGCTGGAGCAGGTGGGGCCGTTTAAAACGCCGCCCGTCCGTCCCTCCATCAGTTCATCGGCTCATCTTTGTTCTGTGTTCACCGCAGGTCCGCAAGGTGCTGAAAAAGGCAGAGCGGGAGCTGGAGTCGCGAGCCCGCTGGACACCGCCGGAGGCGCTGCAGAAGTGGCTGCAGCTGACGCACGAAATCGAAGTTCAGTATTACAACATCAAGAAACAGAGCGCTGAGCGGCAGCTGCTACAGGCCAGAGAGGGGGTGAGTGAAGTGTTGGCTTAAATTTAACGTTTCTCTGATGGACGTCTGTCAGGGACACTTCCTGCTGTGGAAAACGGCCAAAAAGCAAAAACCGTCCCTGAGCCCCTTCAAGGTCGTCTCCAGGACCTCTGGAGCTGCTTCTACTTTCAGATCTGTCTGGAAGACCTGCTCTGGTGTCCTGCAAACATCAAACTCTTAGTCAGAAAGTGTCCAAACCTGACAAACCTGTTGGTGTCCTCTGGGGCGTTCATGGTGAGTTCATCAGTCAGGGAGAGGCAGGGACATCCTGATGCATGAGGGAAACGGTCAAGCCCACTGAGGCCTTTCAAGAAAAGCTGGAGCTGACTGGTCCAAATTTCGTTTTATACAGAAACAGGGCCTGAGCAGAAACACAGGACTTTAATAAGTCTGAAAGTGGATATTTACGAGTGTAATACGAACCAAAATTTTGTATCATGTTTGGTTTAGACGCACTATGAGCTGAAAGCGGAAGTCATCCAGGCTCTTTAGTCTGGTTTGACAGTGTGTTTCCTGCAGCAAAACCCTTCATTATCCTCAAAGACTTCCTGGAAAATAATTAGTTATAGTTAATTAGT